ACTATTCTCGTTGCTACTTTATTCTCGTAATTTTACGTCTTTGTTCTTGTAATGTTATGACTTTTTTCTCGAAATAGAAGACAAAAAAATCTCTAGCCTGGCCCTAATACTCCATGCTAAGTTGGTACACAGATTGTAGCAGTTCAGGATATAATTTATCAGGGGTGGGGTCAGTGTTTTTTTTACGGCACCAAATAAAAGAATCAAACAAAGAACAGGGCAATGGTTCATATTAAGTTAACCAGAAAGCTAATTGAAGCTCTGGAAACCTTAACAGATAAAAACCGTTACCATATCTCAAAACAACCTAAATTAAAAGGGCAACAACTTAATTTTTCCATCATTAATAGAATAAATGGAGAATAAAACTGGTCCAGGGGACCTATCATTTATAATTAGCGTACCAACACATAAATGATTATCATAAATGTTTGTAGTGTTACATCTTTACTACTTGGGCCATTACAGGGGCTCTGGCCCCTCTTGGCCCCTACCTAGAGCCGACCATGTATGTAGAAGTTCTCCATTTCCAGATCACACAAACCCTACCTGTGTTTTGAGGATGACGTCAAGTTAGGAAGAGACACAGAGAACGATTTGTTTAAGAAGATGGCGTTATGCTCTGAGTTTTTCTGGGCCAATCGAATTGTTCCTGTCTGTACGCAGACTTAAAAAGACATTACTGTCTTGAATCAGATCAATGATATATAGAATCTTCAAACTTCAGGAGCTTTACAAGCCGGTACGCCAAGGTTCATTCATTACACAGAGAAGAGAAGTGGGGTGAAAATTTGCCCCTGGGGGACTCCTGGGCTGTAGAAGTACCATTTTTAAAACTACTTAAAGCAGGGGTCTTCAACATTTTCCAGGCTAAGGATCCCCAAACTTCCGGCCCCCTTAATTATATATATATATATATATATATATATATATATATATATATATATATATATATATATATATATATATATATATATATATATATATATATAAAATTGTGTTATATCAAACTGGTACTGTAGTCACTCTATTACATATGGAGTAATGTAAAAAAAAAAAAAAGTTATTTCTCCCTGGGATTATTAATGTATTTCTGATTAAGATTCCTCGTTGATGGAACAGGTGTTGTGAATGAAATGGTGCCCAGCTTGAAAGAGCTCCTGTACATCTCTGAATGTGTGCATTGATGACTGAAATACATCTTCTGCCTCCATTTATCTGGTTACTACAGTGTGTTGAATTCATGATTATTTAGACATTTCAATTAGTGCAGAAAATTGCAGGGGGGAATAAAAACAAAAAGTCTAATCAACCAAAACTTTCGCCACCCCATGCAGTACCTCCAGGGACCCCCTGTTGAAGAGCTCCGACTTGAAGCATAAAAGTTAAAGTAATTCAGGAAAAATGTGAGATCAGATGATTTAAACTCTAAACTGGTTTGTAAGTAACCCTATTAAAGGAATATTTTTGTACAATTCTGAATGATACCTTCCTTATACTCAGTTTTCTTAGTTTTATAACTAATGGTAACGGTGTGAAATTTAACTTTGCATCATTTTGGAAAACTATTTATTTTGGTATGTGGTGAACAACAAGTTTTTGCAGTATCGAGTCCCACCAAAAAGAAATAATTTTTTTTGGATGAGATCAATTATTTTGATGGTTTTTATTTTTTCAAATAGTAAAATACCATAATGAAAATTTGCTTAAGTGAAAGGAGTAGAAAGTAGAGACAACTGCAAAAAATGTAAGGAGTGGAACTAAAAAGTTGGCTAAAAAGAAATTACTAAAGTATAGATAGCCAAATTTCAACTTGAGTAAAGTAACAAAGTATTTATACTTTGTCACTTAACACCTCTGATGAGCAGTTAAAAAATGCTCAACTATAAATCACTTTAAAACAGGACCTTTTGGTCAGAAACATTGCTCATATAAAATGTTTCCTGTCTTTGTGAATGCTAAATATGCACTCATGTAGGGATTTGGAGATACATGTATACATCTAAGGTTAATCTAGAATTTTACCTACATGTAAAGATTAATATTTTAAAAATCTATAGAGAAATTAAGTTTTCTTCATTTACTATAGAGAATGAACCTCCAGATGGCTTCAGTCACCAAATGAATCTCAGTGACACAAGCTAAACATGATGCACCCTCTTTGCTTTCCTGATGTATTTACACGCCTGTAGGTTTGGGAAATATCCTGCTTTTGCACTGAGGTACAGTTTTCAAACCATTATCTGAGTGAGATATACGAGTTGGAGCCTTGTCTTCAGTATAGCTCGAGATCCTGGATATCAAAAATGAGCTTCATTATAGAGAGGGTTCGTTCACTTGGCATAAGGGAAGAGGAGCATCATCATCTGATGCTGCTTCTCTGCATTGAAGGAAATTATTGGAGGCAGATGGGTGAACCCACCAGAAGGGGCAACATTTCCCTTTCAGCAGGGGAATGCATGAAGATCCCCCAGAATAAGTTGGAGAGGCTGACAGGGGGAGAAGGATCTCTGAGTTTCTCTCCTGCACCTGATAGATACAAGATTGTTGAGCTAATTTTTGGTTTCTGAAGAGTCATCTAAGCACTTTTTACACCAAAATAAAAAGTCATTTACACTAAACACCTCGTTATGTTTTAGCATTGAGCTAAAACTGTGTTCATTACAACTGCTTAGGATTTTTGGTTATTTAACTAGTTTTTTTTGTTTTTTTTTTAGCTTTCAGCCTAAACTTCTTTCTGTTTATCACAACTAAGAGTGCTGTTTATTAATGATAATATACTGAGGGCTGATTTATCTTCTATCAAATTCACTCTAAAAGTTCAAAACAATTCTTTTAAAAGCCTCAAACTTTAACAAGAAAACAAATCGCAAGCCCAAATGGATAAAAACAACTTTGAGCCAATTTATCCATGGTTAGTATTAGTTAGAACATATATTTTTTATGTTTTATGTTGTAGTTTTAAACCTTTTTTTGTGATAGTCCATAATCAAGTAGGGCACACTGGTGAAAGCGGAGGATAAATAAACACAATTATTAAGCTATTTTGTAAATAATCTCATAAATGTTTAATTGATCCAGAGCTGCAGCTAATTACGATTTTGCTAATCACTTAATCTGTTGATTATTTTTTCGATTAATTTAATAATCTGATGGCAAAAGGTTCCGTAAAGAAGATTTTACATAGAATTTGAACCAACTAAAGCTGAAACTGCACTTTGATGACTTCTGGATCGAATGTATTAATGGATAATGAATGCAAAATGGTTATATTTTTTTCACAATTTTGTTATAATAACTGATTTAAGTGGATGCTCTGTCATCTAAAGGCAGTGTATGTTAAAGTTGCGATGAATTGATTACTAAGTTAGGGGATGATTATTTCAATAATCAATTAATCATGATTAATCCAAATCATTGTTTCAGGCCTATTCTAATCCCTTTACTTTGGTTCCTCAAATTAAATTTAGAGCCTTTCTGCTTAGCAACTGGAGGTTACCTTTCTATATTTAAATCATAATGCATGTTCTTTGAAGGCCACTTTTGTTTTCCAGAGAATATTACGATTCTAAACACCATTCACACATGGCAGCGTTAGCATTATGGCAAGGGGAGGCTTTCTGCAGCAGGGACAAGAAACTTACCTATTAAAGACTGAAGAAAGAGAAGAGATTCATCTTCCAGCTGCTATACACTGGAAAAATAAGTACAAATTTCTTATATTAAGCATATTTACCCTTAAATTAAGTAGGTAAATTAGATAGTTTGCGAATAGAATGAGTATTTTTACTCTTAAAATGAGGTAATTACATAATATGCACTTGAAATAAGACAATGCAATTGTTTTTTCTTATTTTGTTCCATTGGCAAAATGTCTCTTTAACTTCCTCAATCCAAGAACAAATGCACTTTATTTTAAGAAAAAAAGGACTTATCTAGATTTCTATTTTTTCCAGTGTATAATTGTGCACAAACATCCAGAGCTATAATAGAATCCAGTAACAGTCAAGCCCTAAATTCAGCCCTAATTTCAAATCAAGAAACGTTTAATCCGATCTGACTCGGCTTGAGATGACAGGAATGTTGGGCTCTACATGTGCATGAAAATACACCAATAACTAAAATACAGTAAAGTCTGTGGTTGTAATGTGGGAAAGTTAAACCTTCTGATGGAAGCGATGTTGTAAACATGCTGTGACTGTTTGTGCCATTTTATCTTTCGTACATTCTCTTCTAATCAAAGCCGATGTGTAACTTTTAACCGCATTCAGGCCTGGTTTCTCACAGACGGATCGCAGTAGTACCAGTGAAGTTTTAGGAAGAAGGATTGTCTCTCCCTCTAACCCTCTGCCATCCTGCATTATGCTCCCAGAGAGCGTAGGGATGATAGCGGGCTGGGAGGACACCATCAATCCTCTGTGAGCACGCTGCACGTCTAACGGCCTAAATCTAAGAGATTTACAGGCCGGGGTCGGGGTCGCTCCTCTGTCTTCTTCAGGCAGATCCGGCCTCGACACCCTGCAGCTTTGGCCAAAACGCCTGTGGGGAGGGGGGGTTCATGAGACCCTTTAATATTAACTGCTGTTTAACATTAACTGCAGCTGTAAACAAAAGGCAGAGTAAACAGACTCCCAAGACTAGAGGAAACAAATCCCCAACAAAACTTTTTATGAGTCTGTTCATCTGTTTAAACTTGGGATTTAATATAAAGAAAAATAACATTTGGGCTCATAAAAAACTTCGACATGTTTACTCTCTGGGAAGGAGATCATTTCACATGCACATATTCTGACGCACAGTGAGTGTTGAATATCTCTGAGGTCTCATCTGATTTTTAAAGTCACAGTCAGGTCCAGCTGTTTGGACAGCAGTCCCTTCCTGGGTGTCCCCACTTTCCCTTTTGTCTACCCCTGAGGGACGTTCAGGCCCTCCTCCAGCACTCCATCGCTCACTGACCAACAACCTCAGCTGCACTCTTCCTCTCCTGCAGTCTTTTGTGGGGATTCAGGAATGTCTCTTTGCTTCCCAGATCTTACACATTCTCTGTGAATCCTTCAGCTAAGACTGGTTTTGAGTTTGCTTGGAGTTTGTGTGAGAGGATAGATCCGGAATCAAAGACTGGAGAGGAGATTTTCAGTCCAGATGAGAGAGTGGACGGAGCCTGAGATGAGCTTTTCATCAGGGGGTTATCTCTCCACCTCGGAGGGATACTGCTCCACGGAGCCGCTCCAGTACTACGGTCAGTCCTTCATCACACTCCCAGACTTCTGCTCCTTCCTGCTTTTTCAGGTGCTTTCTACTCCCTTTTTTACTTTAACTTTTCCTGCTTCTGCTCTCACGCTTTTTGGTATTCAAATAATGTGTTGTAGATTTTAACCAATTAAAATGACAGTGACTTAGATCCTGCAATTACCATTAAGTCACTCATCTTTAAACAGAGGGCAGCTTTGGTGTCCATCTGTAAAATGATTTAAATGTTGTTTTTTTTATTGCTTTTTGTGTTTAAATTGTTAAAGACTTGTAGAACAAACAGGAAGATATTAATCTTTTTATATTTAAAGGTGTATTTGTGGTGGAAAGCATATTATAGTCTAATGAGGTTTTTATGAAATTTTTAAAAATACAAATTTGTTATATTTTAGTCGGGTGGCTGTTTGCACCTTTAATCGGTTAAAATAACGACACTATTGCACATAAGGCGGAAATAATAAACTTTCAGCAGCATAAGAAAAGTTTAAAATACTTTTACTGTATTGTTACTTGTTAACCATTTTGACCTCATTATAGCAGAATTAAAAACAAAGTAAAATCTTTAGCAAGTGTTTTTTTTCTTTTATTACAAATGGGAGTTTTTATGGAGTTTTATCAGTGGCTCGGCTCCACAGAGGTGACTTATAGGCATTAGAGTAAAATCAGATACCTGTTAACCTTTTCTTCATTTGCTAATATTCTGTTATTTTAGTTACTCTGTGATCAATTGAAATGTTTTTGGTTTTCATATTCGGGTCCCTTTATTTTCTACAGAGGAACGAACTATAACCAACACATTAATCTCTTCGTCCTTCAATATAGTAATGTATTTTTAATAAAACCAATGTTATGTCTGATTAAAGCCGGGTATGTTATCTTAACAAGGATGAACAAAATATAAACGATGTTTTATCCCTGAAATCATATTGGAAGTAGAAAAAGAGCCAAAAACCCACAATATCTACAGCCAGTTCACAGTCTGAAGCCCTTCTATGGGACTGATAACCACCAAAAATGACCATTTAATGGTTGATCACATAACGGGTGCTTGAAAGTATCCACTCTTGTTTTAAGTCATGTGGCTCAAAACTTTATAAGTTGAAAAAGGCAGTTTGTCCAGCTGAACCACAGCCTCTACCCTGCACTGTGTTTTGGTTGGTTGGTACCAAGGATGAGAATACGCAGCATCTCTAGACTCTCTTAACAACTTTAGTCTATAGGACTAATTAACACCATAGAAATATAACCAGCAGCTCCCGCCGTGTATTTACTTTTAGGGGTGTCACAAAGGTAAAAAGTGAAACTTGACCTATCATGGGTGTTTGTTTCAGCCTTTTCTTCCATCTCTCAGCTAGCACTATCATTGATCCAGCCTCAACAAGTCTGGAAAAGTGAAGAATTTGCTATCTTCATTTTCCAGGTCTGAAAAAGGATGGAAATAAAGGTTAAATAATAATTATGCTTCATAAATTTTACACAATTCAATTCAGTTTACTAATACAGCGCCAATTTACAGCACATCATCTCAAGGCACTTTACAGAGACAATTCAACCAGATCATACAGTCAAACTGAATCAAAGTTTTCTATCTAAGGTAAACCAGTTGATTGCCTTCGAGTCAAAGCAATCCCTCACATTAAGCATGCTTGTAGAGACAGTGGAGAGGAAAAACTCCCTTTTAACAGGAAGAAATCTCCAGCAGAACCAGGCTCAGTGTGAGCGGCCATCTGCCGAGGCCGACTGGGGTTCAAGGAGACAGAAGCAGACATAGAAAAAGAAGCAGAGATACAAAAGTCAACTGTCAACCAGCTCCACAGATGGCCCCGTCCAGGAAACACACAGCCAGGCAGACAAGCTCTGAGCCAGCTCCCATCTCAGAGGATGAAGAGAGCACATCCGGTTAGTCACAGTCTGAGAAACAGGACTACACTGAAGAACAGGCCAAGCTCCAACATCTATGAATAAATGTGTTGATGGATGATAGCCAAGCAAAGTTTTTGCTTTACTCTAGTAAACTTTATTTCAGGTCAAACTGCACCTTTGCTTCTTAATGTACTTCTAGTTAGAATTACAGCCAAAGCTCTAAAGCAGCTGTTTCTTCAAATTAAATAAATGGAAAAAAGTCACAAACTGAGTTTTAAAGACTTTGCATTTATTGTTGAATATCACCGCCCTTTCTTTAATCTCTGAAATGCAGCTGAACCATTTTAGGTCAGATGCTATAGCAATAATAAAATAGCGCCACACCACAGACCAAGGTTTATTATTTTATTTTTTATTTTAGGTTAGTTTTAGCATTTACAGATTGATATTTTTTACTCAGGTGTCTAAAATTCTACAAAAAAAAAAAAAAATCTGTTTTCAGCAGACATTAGTGCAGCAGTCCAACCTATTTCATAATAAGTACAAATTGTTTTGCATATTTTCTCTGGTATTGTGAAGCCTAGATAAATATTCAACTGAATCACTCGTCCAATCAGAGGCTCATCCATCTTGGACCTAATCCCCACAGTTAAAAAGACTTTTAAAATCAGCACACAGCTGCTGCTCAACCAAGCTTCTGCTCAGTTGTTTCACGATGTTTAACCCTCCTCCATACCCTCCTCCACCTTTGCCATAAGCTCCATCTAAACTTTCTTAATCCAGTCTGATGATTCCTCTGGTTTTTGTCTGGCAGAAGACCGCCATGTTGAATCTGGTTATGCCAGAGATGTCTTCCCAATGGGAGTTTTTCCTCTCCACCATCGCTTCATGCTTGCTCATCATGAATTTTCTCAGGTTGAATTAGGGCAGGCCTCCATCACCTAATCTTTTAGCCCCTCCCACAGGCTGCAATCATCAAAATCACATAATTCAATTTTATTGTCATTCCACTGTCACAATTGCAGAGCAACGAAATTAACTCTCTGCATTTAACCCATCCCCTTGGGGAGCAGTGGGCTGCCACTAATGCACCCGGGGAGCAGTGTGGAGTTAAGGGTCTTGCTCGGGGAGCCAGAGTGGTACTCTGTGGGATTGGGAGATCAAACTCACAGCCTCAGGATTCAAAGCCCTATGCCCTAACCACTAGGCTGCCACCCCCCTTTTTATATATATTAATTTAGACCTAAACAGGTGAATAATGTGGTGCAAATAATTATTGTAGAGACATTAGGCTCATGCTACCAATGTCAGTGAGGGATCTTTATAGAAAGAATACTCCTACATTTAAATGACACTTAAGAACATCAGGCTTAAATCTCAGTTAATTTCTATTAATGTAAACAACTTAAAAATTCTGTCAATCCTCCTGAAAAACAAAGAACATCTAAAGAACTAAACTTGTTAGTTAAAAGTAGCTCCAAGTTTAATAACACTTTATAATTAGAACTTATGCTTTAACCAAAATGTTAAAGTTTAACAGACAGGTTCAATTCTCCATAAACCCAGAGCGTCTACCACACTCTCATCTTATTCTAGAGCTGAGTTTTTATTTACCCAATGACAGGAGAGGGGGACATAAAACAGCCTTGAGGTGTTTCGGCCGGCTGCGTTCACCACGTCTCAGGTTCTATTTATACTGATGCGTACCATCAACAAATTCCCTCTGTTACTAGAGAGGGGAGCTGTGCGGGGGGGAGGCTGTTTGCTGGTGTGGTTTTGCTCCCTAGCGTGCGTGGGAGGGAAGGGGAGGCTGAGGAGTGTTTAGACAGCGCTCCAATGGTTTACAAACAGAACCAAGCTCAGCCTCTGTCACACGCCGAGAAAGCAAGGACCCCCCTCCCCTCGCCTGTACCCCAACGCCAGCATTGTCTGATGAAGACAGGAAACATCTGGACCCAGAGGGACAGAGAGGAGGATAAAGACAGAGCCTGACGAGGATTAATAAGAGTTTCTAGACTGATCTGTCTCCTAAAGTCTGAGATGCAGCAGGATTTTATGGAGTCAAGTAATTGAATCATTTAAATGTCCAAATGTCCAGTTAGTCTGTAATGAAGAAATCCATGTAAACAGTTATGCATCAAGTTATTGTCCAGACTTCATTTTGTTTGAATGATCTAAGCGGTTTATTTATATACAGTTATTTACTTACCACTTACTAAGGCTTTAATGGATAATTGCTGATATCCCTGATGTTAAAACTATGTACAATCATTTTTCACATTTCAGAGGATTAGAGCAAACAAAGGGAGAAATCTTTGTCTATTATTCTTTTAATAATATCTGTAGATCATCCTGGAGCCTCTTCTCTTGAGCTCAGCCCTCGTGTTTGTGTAAGATTCAGGTCTTTGGTCTCTGATTGTCGATGAGGAACAGCGTTGATCTGGTCAGAAATTACTCATCTCTAGTTTACTAATAGACTCCATCACATGTTTGTTTGAACTGTCCTGCTATTTCCAATGAGTTCATGATGTCATGAACTCTAACAAGGATCCCAGGCTCCTTGGAAGAGAAGCAAACCCGCAGCATTACAGATCCTCCACTGTACTTGGTCATTAGGTGCTTTGGATCACCTGGAGAATCTGTTTGCATAAAAACAAAGAAAACCTTCCAGTATGAGGAAGCCCCGGCACTTGCAGATTTGAACAGAAATCAATAGAAAGTCGACGCTTAGGCGCACAGCAAAAAACCCCTACAGAAGGTGGAAATGTTCTCAACAGAGGTGAACGGATGAATTCTAGTACCAATGAAATCGATACCAACATCAGTAGTTAATTATATAACAATACTTTTGTAAAAAATCTATATTTTTTTCTACCCACATGCACTGAGTGCAGCAGATTCACCAGTGTCCCTGTCTGTCTCCCCTCACCCGCCCCCGTCCTGCATGATAGCGGCGCCAGCATAACATGAATTTTTTTAATATTACGATTTTGTTTAAATTGCTGTGAAACTTCTTTTTAATGTTTCATTGTTCAATTGTAATAAGTAAGACAAAAAAAATCCAAAAACACCAACACCTTCATGATCTATTGATGGTATCGATATTGACAATGCAGAACCTTTATT